TGTTGTGGCAGCCTGTGTGTCTTCATTTATTTATATAAGCACCCATCTTGAACCAACACCAGGCGATCCAAAAGCAACAGATTAAAAATCTCTGTGTACAACAGAAAATGTTAAAACCACAAGTATTAAAACAAAATCAAAGCCAGGCGCCATCCGTAAACTTTCACTTGCAGCTCACAGCAAGTTCACCTCCTCAATCTCACCCTGAACAGGCACTGGGGGCGGGGTGGGTGGGTGGGTGGAAGCAAGGCCTGGAGTGCTTTGGGGACAGCAGAAAGGCTTGCCAAACCTCACGGGGGGAAAGTCTTCCAGGGGAACATGGCAGCTTTTAAGAGACGGAACTAGGAACCTCTTTGATCTGGTGGGGCAGGCGGTTGTCCGTAGAAGGGGGCAGCCCCACGGGTAACCTAATCTGATCCAGTGTCGTGCAAGGCTTTGAAGAGAATAAGCGGCTTCTCAGAGAACCAGTGCAATGGGTACAATGGAGCTAAAACTGGGGCACCATAAACTCTGCACACTGCAAAATCCTGGACCAGTTCTAGTTTCTGCGTGGTCTTCAAGGGCAGCCCCATGGGGAGTGCATTGCAGTAACTCACTCTGGAAGGGACTCCTGGTCAGGAAAAGGGTTTGATCTGCACCCTCAGGCTCAGTCCGGGGAAAGGGATTTAAGTGCCAAGCATGCAGATCATGTCATGTGACTGCAGAGCTGTGGTAGCTGTGCAACATTTTGTGATGGCTAAAAATGCTTTATAAACACCTATTCTGTGGCTGTCTTAACTCCAGCTTGTCATTAAATGAGTGGTCCTAAAGTGAGGACTACCACATTCCTGCACCTGGTCTAAGAGGGAGTTCCCTAGGAGGGCTCTGTCCTGGGTCTGCCCCCCCACCCCCGGTCTTCTCCTCTTGCTTGCTGTCTTCCCCAAATGCGCTTCTTCCCTAGCTGCCTGTTCTGCTTCCTGGGCTTTGGCCATGGTGGGCTGCTGCCCTTTATACGCTCTGGAGCCCGCCGGGCCCTGGGCTGTTTTGTTTCCCCCAAGAAGCTTCTTAGTAGCCCCCCCCCCACCAGATCCCTCCTTGTCCCTGGATCCCAGGTTTCAGGGACCCACTCCTGTTTCTGCCAGCCTCACCGCATGGGCCACGCCCGCCTTTCTTCCAGATCTCCGCCTGCAGCTGCTGGACGTGAAGAGCAACCCATTCCTCCTCAAGGCTCTCTACGGGCTGCTGATGCTCCTGCCCCAGAGCAACGCCTTCCAGCTCCTCTCCCACCGGCTGCAGTGCGTCCCCAACCCAGAACTCATGCAAACCGCGTAAGTTGCGCCTGGAGGAAAAGCCCTGGCTTCGCAATACTCCCCTCCCCCCTTCCCAAAGGACAGAAGCGGCCTGTTGACGTGGGAGATCTGGCTGGGCAACTTTGCCCACCTTTGGCCGCTTGCTCTTTCCAAGGCTGCACCGCCTTCACCCTTTGGGGTGCCTTTTGCACAAGGAGAACCCTGTTCAAACTAGCCCAGCTTTTATTCAGCAGAGGCGGCAAAGCACTGCAAGCCTCGGCCCCTCTGAGGGGACCGCGTGACCTGTAAGCCTTTGCAGAGGGCATTCACGGCTGCGCTTGGCCCATCAGGGACCCTCGAAACTGGCACCTGCTGCCTCGAAGGGTCCCAGCTGCAGGGGTGTTTCAAGCAAATGCCTGGCTGCTTTTTGGACTCCTGGTTTGGGGCTGGCAGGCAGCTGGGACTTTTCCCCTGGGTGCAGAAGTGAGAGTGAGGGTCCCAGCTTTGTCTATGTTTGGTAACCCCCAAGAGCCCCTCCTCAGGCCTTTGGCATCCAGGATGGCGAATCTGCCTTGCAGGTTTACCATGGGAACTACCCCCAGGGCAGCAGCTGCAGCCATTTGCCACCACTATCCCCCCAGGTGGCAGAGGGGGCCCTGGGAATCCCTGCCTCCCCTCCCCAGGGAAGCTAGGAAGAAGCCAGGCTGGCCATGGATCCTCCACCGAAGGCAGAACTGGGAACTAGTCCTTTTCCTGCTGAGCCAGATGGATGGGGCTCCTCTTGTGCAGCCCTCCCCCCCCTTGACAATCCAGGGCCGTGACTGGGTTGATCGCGCAAAAAAGATTGGAGGGGAGTCTCCCCACCCCCAGCAGCATCGCAACCCCCCGAGGGCTTCTCTTCTTTGGGGCTGGACTTCCTTCTCTACTGCCTGGGCCTTGGGGTGCCTGGAAACCTGGGGTTCCCACTCGCTACCAGCTGTTCCTTTCCTTTCGGGGCAGGGTCCCAACCCCTGGTTTTCCCAGTGAGAGGGTAGGACAGCATGTGGGAGTAGGCATATGAGCCCTGGAGAATTGGAAGAGGATTTTTGAGCCTTCCAGAATGTCCATTTGTCCTAAAAGAACCAATTCTATTGGTTGGGGCAGAGGGTCATCTAGTCCAGCCCTCATAGGGCACATTGCAGCCATCCTGTCCCTAATGGGCCAGAAGCAGAGGAGCCACTGTGTGTGTGTGTGTGTGTGCGTGTCCTGCTCTCAGAAGGGGGGAAAGGCGTCTCAGTTGGGATAGGGGGGCAGCAAAGAGATCTCCCACTTTTTCTTTGTGGAGCAGATGGTCAGCCCAGACCAGCCTCTTCTTAAACCACATTATGGGGGTTCCTGTCACCCCCATTTCCTTAGGGCTGACAGGCAGGTCCAGCGTGTTGAAGGCCAGCAGAGAATTTGCTTGAGCCTTGTGGAAAACCAAAGGAAAGAATCCCAAACCCCCATACTGGGATAGGAAGGGATCCTCTCGTCCTGGATAATCCTCTTCACTCGCACCCTGAATGTGGGTCCCTAAGGGCTGGGGAAGGGCAGGAAAGACCTGGGCTAGCAGTGGGGCTGTGCTGCCCTCCTATGCAAGTCCCAGCCTGTAATGAGGAAGGGGGCCACGGAGACCCCACCAGCTCTGCCCTTTCCAGCCACCCTCAGAGGTGGGCACTGGCTGCATCTGGCCAGGCGGGAGCCTCAGGGCCCGGTCTGTGCTGCACTTGGGAGGCGGCCCCTGCTTGGCTTCAGTCACCTCGGGCGATTCGTGGGACCTTTCAGCCGCTTGCTGGAGGGCTGGCAGGGTAGCTGCCAGCCGCGCTTAAAAAGCGGGCTCAGGATTGCCTGGAGAGGCCCCGGGGTCGACCGCCCCCCCCCCCCCGGGAGCGGCCTGGCCCAGCTGAACTGACCCTCCGCCCCGTTTCCGCAGGGACACTGCCAAGACCGCTCAGGCCGCCAGGAAGACCCCCGCCATCGACTATGCGGAGCTGCTGCAGCACTTCGAGAGGGTCCAGGGCAAGCACCTCCAGGGCCGGCACCAGCGGGCCGTGCGGGCGGGGGAGCCGCCGGAGCGCCGGGGGGCGGCCGCCTTCTGATGGTCCTCGCGAGGACGGGTCCACTTCGCTCCCCACGGACTTTCCGGGTCGGGGCCGCGCAACCCGCCCGGCCTTTCTTCGCCCAACCGCACCGGAGTGCCGAGGCCGGACGCTGCGGCCTGGCCGTGCGCGCTGGTCCGCGTGTGTGTCCCCCGCCCCCCGCCAGGCCCCAAAGGCCTTCCCGCGGCCGTTCCGGCATCGCCCGCGAGTCCCGTTGCTCAAATGAAGAGATTTGAAATAAAGAGGACTGGAAACGTCCGGAGGCTCTTTGGCCGTTTGTGGCTCCGTTGGGCGCATCGCTAGCGCGGCCGGCTCTGCTGCACGTCGGGCGGGCCCTGCGGGTGGCGGGATGAAAACGGACCATCCGGGATCCTGTGGGGCCGAGGTTGGGAGTGGGCGGAGCCCAAGCTGGCGTCTTTTTCGGTCAAGGCAGCCCGGCGGGAGAGCCTTGGGGGGGGGGGTTCAATTGTTGGAGGGAGGCGCAAAACGGCAGCTGATCCGGCCCTGCCGTCCCAGAGAGGAGCCCCCTAAGCGCGCCAGCAGCGACTCTCCGCCAGAGCGATGGGCACCCGCCGGCTCCCACTCGGGCTCCTTTGCCTCCGCAGCCCGGACGGAGCGCGCCGGCCCAGTTGCCGGGGCTCCAGCTGAGACGCGACGGAGGAGGGGGCGCCCCTCCCCGCCCACGTGACCAGAGTGTGCCCCCCCCCGCCCGC